GAGAGAGATAGAGAGACAGAAAGCAAGAAATCATCCCCCAGGGGGGATGACCATGCCACAATCCCTTCTCCTCCATTCTCCTCTCGGGATCTTGGGCATGCACGCACATGCACCTGGCGTGAGTTTTAAGCCACCGGGTCCGGGACGTGAACCGCGGTTGACTACGTGGGAGTCCAGTGACATGGCCATTATGCCAACTGCTGGTTCAAAATCCACCTAATTTTTGAACTAAGATGTTAACTTGGAATTATAACTTAAACTGGCATTACAAATCTGACTTAAGAAGTTCTGAAATTTTTTACCTAAATCAAATATTTATATTAGATACAGTTTAATGCTTCTAGGTTATGCTGCAAATTATGACTTTTTCCTTTTTTCTTTTGCCAGAGTGTAGGCACATATATTTGCCAGGGAGTGATAGAGAGAGACAGAGAGAGAGAGGGAGAAAGCACCCCACAGTGGGGCAGGATCACACTGCAATCCCTGTTCTTCCATTTATCCTTCCACTTGGGATTTTAGGCATGCATGCACATGTGCCTGGAATGATTTTCAAGCCACCAGGTCCAGGATTCAAACCACCTGGTCGGCCATAGGAGATCTGGCTTCGTTAACCACTAGTCTACAAAGCTGACACCTTTAAAAAAAAAACTTTTAAAATATTAATTTTTATTATTTTTTTTCTTAATTCTCTATAGGGTGCATGTATTTGCTGGAGAGTGAGAGAGAGAAGGTGAGACAGCAACCCTGGAAAGGGATGACCACACCACAGTCCCTTCTCCATTCTTCTCTCTCTCTCATAAATACACACACATCCCCAGTGTGTTTCTCAAGTCACTGGGGCCACAACTTGAACCTCAGAGTCAGCTACGTGGGATTCAGCACCTTAATCACCATGCTACCTACTGGCCCCTACATGTTTTTCAAGCCACAGGAACCGGGACTTGAATCACACAGTCGGCTACGTAGGATCTAGCTGCCTTAACTCTCATGATACTGGCTGGCCCTTTTCTTTCTTTCTTTTTTTTTTCCTTAACTGCCAGAGGCACTTTCTTTCTTTTCTCTTTTAAGAATTATTTTATTTATGGGACCAGCAGATGGCATAATGGCTACATCACTGGACTTCCATGTAGTCAACTGCAGTACAAATCCTGGACCCAGCAGTTTAAAACTCACACTGGGCACGATTGCGTTCATGCCCAAAATCCCAAGAGAAGAATGGAGGAGAAGGGACTGCGTCATGGCCATGTCCCCTCGGGGGGGGGGGAATTCCTCGCTTTCTGTCTCTCCGTCTCTGTCTCTGTGGCACACGCACATACCTATAGCAAAAATCTCTCTCTGTAAAAAAAGTGTTATTTTATTTATTACTATTATTATGTTTTATAGCTTGCTATAGGGCACATGTGCTCACCAGAGAGTGAGAGAGAGAGAGAGAGAGAGAGAGAAAGCAAGCTACCAGGTCCAGGACTTGAACCATGATCAGTCATGTGGGAGTCCAACACCTTAACCATCATGCCATCTGCTGACCTCACTGATCCACTTTTTAAATTATTTTATCAAGATAGTGAGAGAGGAAAAGAGAAAGGAGAAAGAAAAGAGACAGTGAAAGAAACAGATATTTTTTTTATAGGGTCTTACCATGCAGCAATCCTCCTGCCCTAGCCTTCCAACTAGAATTGTAGGTGCACACAACATTGCCCAGCATGTTCAGGTCGACCCAGGAATCAAACCCAGACCTCCCAAGAGGTCTCCAGCCTCCCAAGCAGAGGTTGCTACCTGTACACCAATGCAGCTAGGACTGAATGCTTTACTTTTGATTAAAGTCCTTATTATTTATTGCATACCTGGCAGGTAGTTTATAAATATAACTTTGCCCATTTTCAGTCCAAATGATTACTTTATCTGCTGATACAAAGTCCCCTCCAGTCCATGTCTGTCCATTTTCACTAGGACCTGAACACAACAGGGAATAGTCGCCAGCATCAAATACCTACAAGGAATAAGAAATTCCAAATCTATTCCATGTGGTTGTAATTTAAGTAAGATACAAGTCTTCAACAACAACAAAAAAACAACTTCTGGAAATGTATTTTCCAAACTCAGGCCTTCAGAGCTTACAGCCTTAGGTGAACAGTCAGTAAACCCAGAGGCACAATCATCTTCAATAGGAAAAACACTGCTAGGCCCCCAGCTATGTGTAGCTTCCCAGGGTCAATCCAAAACCATGATAAGTTGAGCCTGGGAGTTACCCTCCATAGGGACAGGCATCTTGAGCCTTTCTCCTCAAGAGGGAGGAAGTACTCCATCAAAGAAGGGCAAGTAATAACCCACCTCTAGAAAGTAGCTTCCTGGTTTATTTCCATGTCTAGTAACAACACATCTAGTAAACTCTGCCTTCCAAAGATCTCCTTTTAAATAGGAAATCATCTGGCTTTCTCTTATTTCATCACTGTTCTAAAATAATATAAATAGAAAGTTAACAGTCTTGTTATTTAATAATTTTCATGTGTAAGAGTCAAATCCCTATAATTTCACTAGCAACACAAGCCTTAGAGGCCATGGCACTTGAAAAGCACACCACAGTTTACACAGTGCTTTTACACTCATTATCTCATATGACCCTTACGATCACTGCTGAAGGTGGTCAGGCAAGTATTGCTATTCCATTTTACAGACAGGAAAGTGACACAAAGAGCGACTTCACTTGTTTAAGGTCACGTGCCTGGTAAATGACAGAGCTAGGACTAAAAGCCCTAGTTTTATAATTCCTAACAGAATTGTTCTTTCTACCATCTTCAATATTTGATAAAAGTACATTCAGCATTGTTAGAAATTTTCCTCAAGATAAATGAGAAATTCCTTATTCTTCAATGGCCCAAAGGATTTTTTCTTCTTTCTTGTTTTAGGTTTTTGCCAAAGGGTGTGTACGTTAACCACAGAGAGAGAGAGGGAAAGCGAAATATCACCCCTCAGGAAGGATGGCCTCACCACAATCCCTTGTCCTCCTTTCTCCACCTAGAATTTTGGGCATGCAGCGACCAGCCTGAATTTCAAGCTGCCAGGCCCAAGAAACTAACCATAATTGCGCTTGTGGGAGTCCAGCACATGGTGGCCCCTATTTTATTTGTCTTTGAAGAAAACAGTGAAGTTCTTTGTGCAGAGTCTTCAAGTTAGAACAAATTCTAGCTGAATTTACAATGTTTTGCTAAAGTATTTTTTGGTATATAACATTAGCACTATGACAACAGACAAGAAAGTTCAAGAAATACTATTGGAGAGAGCTTGGTCCTCTAGCCCTATTATCCATTAAAAGGAATTATAAAGCTATTGAAGTTAAAATAAACAGAATTAATTCATGATTAGATAGACAAACTAACAAGACTAATATTAGATGAAGAGTACATTATCTCTATTCCTCTAATATGAATGAATTACTCAACAAATGGCATCAAGAACTGGGGTGGGGTCAATTTGAAATAAAAGTCAAATAGGAGGCCAGTCATTGGCATGGTGATTAAGGTGCTAGACTCCCACATGGTCAACCATGGCTCAAGTCCCAGACCTGGTGGCTTGCTTTCTCACTTTCCCTCTCTTCTTTCTCTCTAATCAAATTAAACAATAATAATAAAAATAAATAAAAATGTTTTAAATGTCAAATAGGATCTGCATCTCATAATTTATACAAAATTAGTTTCATATTAAAGACTAAAAGATCTATAAAGTAAAACCATATACATATTAGGGGAAAATGAGAGACTCTTTAAGAGTCTCAGCTGTGGAAAGTTCTTTAAAAATATATCACAAATGTTGGAGAAACCATAAAAGATGCCAATTTCACTAAATTAAAATTAAGATCTTTTTGGCAATAATATTTGAAAAAGTCATTCTGTAGGTAGCAGTACTATCTCAGTGCTTTTTAATACGTGTGTCTCTGGAGATTAATGAAGCTGGGTACGTTTGTACACATTAATCAGCCCTCTGGCTCTCCTTTTCTGTGAAATACGATATTTTTATCCATTTAGATAAAAAAAAAATAAGGTATATAAAGAAAACATGCTTTTCACTGGATCCTCTCACAATGATTTGTGGTTTTTTTGTTTGTTTGTTTTGGGGGAACTTTTTTGGATGTACTTTAGATTTTAAGATGAAAGAAGGACTCCATAGCCTATTCCAACCTGACCGCTGTTAGCTTCTCCTTGCTAATCCTACTCTAGAATAGTAACAGTCACCAGGATCAAGTTAAGATGCGGCTGCCCTAGGCAGTTCCCTCGCCATAAGGCACCTTCCCTTTGTCCTCTAAACTCAGGACACATGACACCAGACCTCAGCTTGATTGTCCTGCGAGGCAATTCAGCATGTAGTAATGAGCTGCTGCAGTCAGACTACCCGAGTCATAGCTTAGCAACCTCACTACCACTTGTATAACCTTTGTCACACTGTTTAGCTACGTGCCAACTGCCTTATCTTTAAAAGAGGAGAGTGATGATTCCTACTGTGGTAGGCATCTCTAAGATGGCCCCACTGATCCCTGACTCCTGGTATTCATACCCTTGTGTAAATTTGTAGATTAAAATTTGTGACTGTTTCCAGAGAACAAATGTAGCAGAGACGATGAGCTCTTAGTTCCAAGATTAGAAGGTCTTGGGTCCACCTTCATTGCCCATTTTGAGAGCCACCTTATGTAGAGGCCTACGTGGCAAGAAACTAACGTCTCTAGTCAAAGGTTGGTGGGACCTGACACGTGCCAACCACGACATGATGGAGCAAGGTCCTCAGCAAGGTGATTCTGAAGACCAGACTGCCATTCCAGTGGACACCTTGATCACAGCAGCCCGGGAGAGACCCTGAGCAAGAGGTGTCCAGCTACGCCATGCCCAGATTCCCAACACACAGAAACTGGGTGATAACACATACTTGTTTTTAACTACTAAGTTTGGGAGTGACTTACTATGCAGGATTAAATAACTAATCTATTCTCAGAGAGTTGTGTAGATTAAAAGACTACGTGGAAAGCTTTGGAAAAGTGCTAGGCACAGAACCAGCACTCAAAACATGAAGGCTATTTCCCTATTATGGAGTAACTAAAGTCTGGCAACGTGGAAGCAAAACACCTCTTACATCATTAGCTCTAAAGTGATGGGAGAAGACCCTTTCAACTCCAAGAACTCAGTAAAAAAAAAAAAAAACTTTTTAAAAAAAACTGGGTTTAATCATATCCTACTAAAAAATAAACAACCTACAGGAAACTCATTACCACTGCTTTTGTTGTTCTAAAAAAATTACAACAAAACAGTAGCAACAAGTAGAAATTAAGATGAATAAACAAAGTCACTAACTAAATCATTCTATGAACCAAAACAAAAAGAGAGAATTACATTTAGCCAACTCCTTAAAAAATGTTATCGAAACCACACATGTATTCTGAATGACTGAAACAGTCTCACACCAAACACTTGCTTGGGATTATCTTGGTCTGATAAACCAGTACCTTGAGAGATGAAAACACAGTTTCTTACTTCTGCAGTTATCTTACCCTCCAATATTTGGAGCACACAACCAAAAGTGACCTTTGTGTGAAAGCGCAAAAAGAGATGCTTTGACAATTTTGACAGTAAATTGGTTTGGATTCCTCCTCAAATATTGGCTCAGTATCCTGAAAACAGAAAGATTTATAAAACTTTAGGAATAACTTGTTTGTCAGTTGAAATTATTACATGATGATAAAGACAACAAAATGTACCAGAGGCACCAATTAATGCTAACCATTTTAGTCCCTCTGATAAGAACCCAGGGAGTAAAAAAGAAGAAATATATCCTAAAAAGAGCAGGCACAAAGGTCTTTGCCACGGATACTCAAGATTTAAATCCTGATGCCAATCAAAGTATCATCACTCTGGCAATGGCATGATAAAAATTTGAGTTAATCCTAATTTTTATATATAGGTACACGTGCTTCAGGAAAAACAAACAAACAAACAAACAAACAAAACCTGATCAATTTCTTCAGTTTCTTCCAGAGTCAACATCTAGAATTAACCTAGCTGAAAGATCAGCATCACTATTGCCAGGAAACAGATCTGCCTTTTGTACTGATAAGAAATAACAAGGAATTCAAGCCCCTAGAATTGAGACAGAGCACTAAAACTGGCTTTGCATTCATTTTGGACTGGTTTGCTCAGTTTTTTCCCTCAAGTAAACTACCTTTTAATTTAAACAAATGCAGCCCAAAAAAGCCCCACCTCTTTTATATTTCTTTTACTTCATATTCTGTGCTATATGTTTTCTATCTCACATTTTTGATAGAGTAGGTATCTACCATTGTAAGTGAAAAAAATAATTCAGAGGTCTTCTATATTGTAAGACTATTGAAAAATAAGGGGTTTTTTTCCCCTTTAAGAAAAGAAACAGAAGGGGCATTTCATTACCAAAATGTCAGACTACTCAAAGAAGAAAAATGGAGACATCATTTCCAGGCTCCTTTCTCTCACCTGCATACCGCTTGTTTCAGAGGTGACAATCCACACTTTCAAGATACCCGTCACTGAGAGTGCTACCACAGTGTCCTCTAAACCGAGAGGGGAGAAGAAGCCCAGGTTACAAATAGAACATGCTTCCGCTTCCTTCCTAAACGAGAAGATACTGCCCTTTATTTGAATAAATAATATGTTTTACAATTAACAGGAAAACATAATTCTTTTTTTTTCTTGGAGAGGTTTTTGCTATAGGGCGCGTACGCTCGCCAGACAGAGAGACATAGAGACAGAAAGCTAGAAATCACACCCCGGTGGCGTGGTCACGCTGCAATCCCTTCTCCTCCATTCTCCTCTCGGGATCCTGGGCACGCATGCATACACACCCGGCATGAGTTTTAAGCCACCAGGTCCGGGACGTGAACCGCGGTCGACCACGTGGGAGTCCAGTGACATAGCCATTACGTTAACTGCTGGTTCCCCGGAAAACATAATTCTATACTATATCAAAGTAACTAGATTTTGAAACACAGTTAATAAAGATCACCAAAAATTTAGAATTCAAGAAAAGTAGTCTCTAGCTGCTTGAATTTACTATCTTTAATTTTTACAATTTATTATCATTATTATTATTATTTTGCAGAGGTCTTTGCCTTAGGGTGTGTGCACTTGCAGAGAGAGAAAGAGACACTCACAAGACAGTGAGAGATAAAGTGAGAAATCGCCCCCCAGGGGAGACAGCCATGCCACCATCCCTTCTCCATTCTCCTCCCGGGATCTTCGGCACACACGCTCCAGCATGAGTTTCAAGTCACTGGATCCAGGACTCCAACTGCAGTGAGCCATGTGGAAGTCCAGAAACATAACCTCTATGACATCTGCTGGCCCTAAAATTACTAATAAGCAACTTTTTAACAATTTCAGCTGTTCTCAATTAGTATGTTAACAAAATCTTCATTACTATAGTCTTCAAAATCCATACTTTTCATCATGGTTAGACACTATTGCTCTTTCACATCATCCATTCCTCCTCCTTGCCCACCTGCCCTGCCTGCCTTCCAGACATTTTATGGCACACTGCATGCCCCATAAGCTGTGGCTAAAAACAAGACATGATATAAAAGCTAAATTCGGAAGCTTTGGGTACGTGTCCAGTCACAGGGGCACAGTAAAATGTGCAAGTGAGCTCTGAGAGGATGCACATCAGAAAGCAGTCGACTGCAAGTCCAGAGTGAGGGAGTTACGTCTTAATGTCAAAAATCACAGTATTCTTCATAAACTAACTAGTAAACTGTGGATAACTTAACTAACCCATCTTAAATTCAATTTGCGTATTTAGAAGCAAAAATAAATGTACTATTAGGAAAATTAAGAAACACCTCACATATAGCACTTGCCACATACTAATTCCTCAAGAAAGTGCTGTTACTGAAAAAATTGCTTCAGGCCAGCCAGAGGTGTGGTGTTTAAACCAGCTGGGTCTCACAAGGCCAACTGCACATTTTGAGTCCTGGACCCTGTGCTTTGAAAACTATGCTAGGTGCATGTGCATGCATGTTCAAAATCTAGAAGTTAGGGAAAGATGGAGGAGAAGGAACTGCTGCATCACCATCCCCCAGGGAGTGTTTTCTTACTATTCTCCAGTGATCACACACATCCTCTTACATTTTTTTAAAGTTACATGCTACTTTGTGCAGACTACAACATGTACATATATGCAGAAAGTGTAAAAATTCAATATGTGCAAACCGCTTGGTTACAAATAAAGTCCCTTTTAAAAAAAAAAAAGAAATCATTGATTTTACCTTAGCTTAGAGGTGTACATGCCAACAAAGAGCTTGCCATTGGCTCAAAAATTAAATGGAATTTCATTTTCATTATACTCCAGAATAAAGCAATAATTCTCTACTATGCATAAAAAAAAAACTTTTGTAAGAAGGTCCCACATTAAAGAAATACATATGATTTTATTTTACCAAACATTTCCCAAATTTGATCACAGAACCCTCCTTTTTTTTCCACTAAGGCCTAAATAGGAGCTTCAGAACCCAAGCTCTGAAGAAGAGCTGAATGGAAATGCATGGGTCCATCCTCACTTTCCCACACTGATTTAGTTCAGACCTGCACCCTCCCAGCTGAGCTATGGTACTAATCTCCAGACTGATTTGTTCCCACCTAAACCATGAAAGAAAATAAATTTTGAAACATAAGTTAATAAAGATCATCAACAATTTAGAATCCAAGAAAAGTTGTTTCTAGCTACTTGAATTTACTATTCTTATTTCTTTTCTTTCTTTCCTTTTTTCTTTCTTTCTTTTCTTTCTTTCTTCCTTCCTTCCTTCCTTTTTTTTTTTTTTTTTTTGGTAGAGATTTTTGCCTTAGGGCATGTGCACTTGTTGGAGAGAGAGACAAGACAATGAGAAGGAAAGTGAGTGAAATCACTCCCCAGGAGGATGGCTACACCACAATCTCTTCTCCCATTCTCCTCTCAGAACCTTCGGCATGCCCATGTGCCTGGCATGAGTTTCAAGCCACTGGGTCCAGGACTCAAACTGCAGTCAGACATGTGGGAGTCCGGCAGCTAACTGCTATGCAATTTGCTGGCCCCAAATTTACAATTTTTATTTCTAATGAACAACTTTCTAATAATTTCAAATGTTCTTGATTACTATGTTAACAAAATCTGTATTACTATATTATTCAAAATCCACATCTTATAATTATCCACTGTGGCTAGATACCATTGCTTTCTTTCACATCATCCATTCCTTCCCTTGCCCACCTGCCCTCCCTACCTTCCAGACGTTTTACAGCACACAACTAACAATACCACCAAAGTGATGCTTAAAACAAGCCCTTTCAAGCATTCTTACTAGAGATTGCCCAGCACCGACAAGGGGAGCCAGAAAGCTACAGATCACCAGTCACTTCTAGCCTACTGGCAGTTTTTGTAAATAAGTTTTACTAGAGGATAGGTTGGCTTATTCATTTTCACTTTATCTAATGCTCCTTTTGTGCTACAACAGCAGAGATGTGCAGCTGAAGCACAGATCATATGGCCTGCAGAGCCTGAAATATTTAATATCTGGCCCTTTACAGTACAAGCATGCCAACCTCTGACCTCTGGGGTGAAATCCAAGCTTCTTAGCTGACACACGGACCTGCATGATCTGTCCCCTGCTAACTTTGCCAGTTTCATATCCTGACACTTCTTTCCTTATATTTCTTTCCCTGAAGATAATTTATAGTTGCCTACATAGACTTATTTTCAAAGCTTTTGCTCCTTTGTACAGACTATTTTTCTACCAGAACTATACTGATCCCTATGTTGGCCAGACAAATTGCTCTCATCTTCCAAATCCTAGACTCCATTCGATATGAGCAGCCTTCCTACTACCCTCAAGCCCCTTCACTGCCATCCTCTCTATACTATTTTCCACCTTGTCATACTTTACACTCTGAACTGGTATTTATTTAAACATCATTCTCCCTTGGTAGAATGAGTTTCTTAAACATTTCAGTCTCCTGTATCTGAGAGACAGAAGGCACACAATAAATGTTTGCTTAATGGCTGGCTACTCAATAAAAAACTATGTGCTGATTTCAAATCCTAGGAGGTTACAAAGAACTCCCAAAAAGTTGGAGGTAGTTCATTAATGAGAAGCAGTGAAACACAGTGACTAAAGTAACTCTAGAGTCCATCTGGCCTCCAGTCTGCCATGTGCTTACTCTGTGATGTTAGGTGAAGACTCCCGAACCTTCATCAGTCTCCACACCTACATGGCAGATAACAATATTGCCCACTCCACTGGATATTATGAGAATTTATAAAACATACATGTTTAACATGGTACTTGATATTATGAATAGTCAATACATGAAGTCCTTGTGGTGGAGGTCATAATTATAGGTCAGCCTTTACAGAAAAGCATACGACCATAAAGCCATTAGGGAGAAAAAGGTCACTCCTACAAAAGGCTTTTAGGAATACATATTCAGGCCACCTGCAGTGGCACAGTGGTAACACAACACTCTACGATACTAAGGCCACATGGAAAGCTCTCAGGTTCATGTCTCAAGGAATCTGTTCATGCCTGGAGGGTGCCTGCATGTCATTATCATGGCTAGCTAAGACTAGAGGAAAGATCACAGTATGGGGGTGCCTGTCTGTCTCTCTCTCTTCCCATCCCTGCCACTCTCATGGAAGAAATAGACAAAATTATGACACATTCAATATTCCTAATTTCTTATTTATTTTTTAAGAGAGATTTTTGCTATAAAGCACGTGCCCTCACTGGAGAGACAGAGAGAGACCAAAAAAAAACAGAAAACCAGAAGTCACACCCTCAGGAGGAAATAGTCATACTGCAGTCCCTTTTCCTTCATTCTCTTCTTGGGATTTTGGACATGCGCACACACGTGTGCAGTGTGAATTTTAAGCCACCAGGTTTGGAACTTGAACCATGATCAACTACATGGGATTTTAGCAACATAACCATTATGCCGTGTGCTGGTCCCTATTAACGTATTATTATTTTACTTTTTTGCTATAGGGCACATGCATTCACCAGAAAGACACAGAGAGAGAGAGACAAGGAAAGTGAGGAAACACACCCCCAGTAACACAGTAATCTCTTCTCCTCCATTCTCCTCTAGGGATTTCCGACACACATGCACATGTGCCCAGTATGACTGTCAAGCCGTCAGGTCTGGGATTCGAACCATGCAGTCAGCCATGTAGGATCCAGAGCTTTAATCTTCACGTCATCGGTTGGCCCCTTAATTAATGAGTAACTATTGCTCTTTACCCGAAAAGGTTTACTCTCATCATTGTTACTGAAAGGTTTCAACAGAAATGAAAAATAGATAGTAGTATTTATTGTCAACTATGTACCAGGTGCTTACTGGAAGCTTTCATTAAATTTAATTATGTATAATCTCCTCCTAATCTCTTCCTTCTTATGTGTAAAATGACATACTCCTGTTTAATTTGTAAGAACCAAATGTAACAAAATACAGGAAATTCCTGACTAGTATTTACTTAGTATGTGTGAGTTTATCCATTTTCTTTATCACATTTTTAAATTAAAAGACTTCCTGTGCCTCTTAAGCAAGTTATAAAACCAGTCTCCAGAAACACCCAAGTGAAACTACAGTCATCTAACTATATACCCCAAGGGTTAAGATACTCTTCCTCTACTTCAGAAAATCACCCATGCACTATAAAATGGCCAAAAGCTAATGGTCCATCCCAAAGAGAGGACATAACCTAACACTTTACGTATCAATTCCTTTATGCACTTTACATATCAATTCCTTTATGAAGGAGGAGACAAAAAGTAAGTTATTAGAGTAGTTATTTCTTAAAAGAATATAACCAAAATCATTAACTTATGATAAATTATAGAACTTCATAATAAATTAAACACTAAGTCATGGTGCTGAGGTTGCTAAAGCAAATAATGTACTGACCTTGTGTTCGGTGGGATCGAATAATACTCATGGAGCTAATCCAATCTGGCGATATCTTTGAAACTAAGGAGTATAACACCTCAAGGCTGGTGGCATCCACAACAAGGATTTCAGGGTAATGACCATGGCATAAGAGCCTTCCTTCTCGCTGACTTCCAACAGAAAATTGGTAGAACTAAATTCATGTCAAAAGGAAAAAGATTGGAGAAAGTTCTTTTGTTTACTTTCTATGCATTCATTAAACTTATTTTGATAGTCTCCTAAATGCTCAACTTCTTCGGTAATATTTTCCAATATGTACTACATGGTATATAGTATATGTGTGTGTACGTACATACACACATATATACATCAAATTATACTAATATTTTTATGTAGCTAACAAAAATTGTTCTTTCCTTAACATCATATCACCACTTTTCAACTATTTACAAAAAGACATAATGATAATTTCTCACTTTTATCCCCCCAGCATAGAAAACAATACCATTAAATGAACTAATAAAACACCTGAATAAAATCACTTCCCAAATCAAATCAAAAGGGAAGGTCATGGGGCTGGAAGGTAGTATGGTGGTTAAGGTGCTAGACTCCCACATGGCCAACTGCAGTTCAAGTCTCGGACCTAGTGGCTTGCTTTCTCATTTTCTCTTTCTCTCTCTCTCTCTCTGGTGAAATTAAAAAATAACAAGCATAATAAATAAATATTTCTTTAAAAAATAAAAAGGGAAGGTCAGGTGGGTCACAAAAATAATATGAATTTTAAGTGAATGGAAATAGGCAAGTATGGGCTTGTAATTACTAGTTATGACCAAATAAAATTTACAAATAAAGAATGAATTTTGTTCAAACATAGTATAATTGGGCCTCAGACTTCTTATATGTAAAACGACAAACTGCTATTTAATTTGTACAAGAAATGTCTCAACAGTATCTACTTAATAAAGGTGGGTTCTCTTCCCTTCCCTTTTCTTTCTCATTGGAAACATAATTGGTCATATTTCCTACATCCCTTAAAATATTTCTACCACTTTATATAGTAAACAGTGAGTCAACTGAGACACAGAGAAGTTGACAATTATGAAAAAGTAAGAAAGAAAACCAGGAACGTATTACATAATTCCTGTGTAATACTCTACCTATGAAGCTGGTCATTTCTTCTAAGAATTGGGAAGTCTTCAAAAATATGCCTAAGGACTAATTGCCCAAACAATAAAAAAGATATTGTCCAAAAAGTGAGTTCATTTGTGTCAATCTCGAATGGAATCATAAAAGCTTTAGTAAGAAATAATTCCATTATTTGAAATCTAGAGCACTTACCAAGTATGAAAACGCTGCCATTTGAGAGTAACCAGGAGAGCTCAACAAAGCAGAAGCAGGACAGTGACCACTGGCATCCCTACAGCATTCCACATTAGTCTCCTCTACTTCCTTTCCTTATTTTTAGACAGGTCTTGATCCTCCTGCCTCTGCACCCCCTCCCCCCAGTAGCAGGGACTAAAGGCACTGACTGCCACGCTCAATGCCTGTTTTAGACAGTTTACTATGTTATCACAGTGAGCTTACAGCGTGTAACTCTACTGACTCAGCTGCCCAAGTAGCTGGGATTACAGGCACACACAACCAGCTTTTTTTTTTTTTTCTTTAGAGAGGTTTTCGCTATAGGGCACGTGCGCTCGCGAGACAGACAGAGAGAGACGGAGAGACAGAAAGCGAGAAATCACCCCCCAGGGAGGATGGTCAAGCCGCAATCCCTTCTCCTCCATTATCCTCTTGGGATCTCGGGCATGCACGCACATGCGCCCGGCGTGAGTTTTAAGCCACCGGTCCGAGACTCGAACCGCGGTCGACTACGTGGGAGTCCAGCGACATAGCCATTACGCTAACTGCTGGTTCCCCACAACCAGCTTTTAAGGTGGGCCAGAAATTGAATCCAGGCCTCCTACATGGCCTCAGCCTACCAAGAAACACTATCAACCAGCATGCACTACCACTGCTGTGCCTCTCCTCTACTTTATCACCTACCGACTATACCACCTCAGGAGGGATATGTTTACTGCTCCAATTCTACTCTTTTTGTCCTTTTACCCCTCCCCACCATTTTTCATATAAAAATACAGTCTCTATATTTTTTAAAGAATTATTTATTTATTATTATTGTTGTTAATATTATTTTTCACATGAGTTTTTCCAGAGAAAGACAGAGAGAGAGAGAGGGAGAGTGAGAAAGCAACCCGCCAGGTCCAGGACTCAAACCATGGCCAGCCATGTGGGAATTCCAGCACCTTAACCACCATGCCACCTGCTGGTCCCAGTCTCTATATTTTAAAAACATTTTATAACTGTATACTTGTAGTAAACTGTACTGACACAGACAGTCACAGAATTAGATACTAACCTGTATGCCAGTATGAGTGCAGGCTAATTTTGTAAATTCAATACATCTGCCATCATTCACATCCCAGAGACACATCTCTCTACAAAACAAAATAACAGATAACTTTGGACCTGAGTTTTAAAAGCACTGCTCAGCTTTTTGAAGCGAGGAACCAGTTACCTTCAGAAATGATGCCAGGGACCAATGCTTTGTGGATTATGATGGCATCATGTGGACAGTTAGGTGCCAAAGCGGGATGAGGTCCTAAAGAGGAAGCCTCTAGCCATGAATGCATAGGCATTAAACAAACCAAGTTAAAATCACAGAGTGGCTTGTTTGGATCAATCTAACGTAGCACAGATTTTGGAAGCCATTGCAATTAGAGGTATGAAGAGTCTGGCAGCTGTAATGCATGGGCATAGCAAGAAATTACCAGTCAATGATTAAGAATTCACATGAGGAAGAGTGCAGGTAGACTTCCTGTTACCCTATAAACTTAAAGGGCTTTTATGATGGCAGCAAGCTTGTGGCTTAGCTTTAGAAGGTACAGGATGAATATTCATGGGATAGAAGATGAAGCATTAAAATGTAATAAATTGCTACAAACTGGAGAAATAAAAATTAAAAAATAAAAGCACTGTTCAATTTTGTCACAGTGTTTTAAAATTAATCTTCCACTGAAACTAAAATATTGGGTCACTGGAAAAGCCATGATGCATTTTTGCATAGAAAAATATGTCATGACTTTTCCAATGATCCACTATTTCACTCTTTATCAAAATTCCCAGTCCTCGGGGACTAGCAGGTGGCATGGTGGTTAAGGCACTGGACACTCCCACATGGCCGACCATGGTTCAAGTCCCAGACCTGGGGGCTTCCTTTCTCACTTTCCTTCTCTCTCTCTCTGTGTCTCTCTCTGGTCAAATAAATAAATAAATAAATAAAATTAAAATTAATAATTTTTTAAAAAGTTCCCAGCCCTCCCACCCACCATCCTAATCCCCCCTCCAACCTGCCCACTCCCCAGCTCGATTCACATCACTTCTGAGTCCATGGAAAGACTGCATCTCCTGGTTCCCTTTTGACTGGCAGACTCATAAAAGAGTTCTGGCCAGAACCAACATGAGGCTCTCCAGAATTCTCTTTTTCCTCTGCCTCTGTTACAGATAGTGACTGCTTCAAATAAGATTGTTACCTAACCCTGATCCTAAAAGTAAGGATAAGAAGGGCAGAGACCCCAACTAGTACATGAGGAATGGGACAAGAACAAGAAATAAACTTTCTTTTCTTTTTCCCTTTTTAAATTTTCTTTTTGTATTTATTAACATTCAAGGCCTAAGACTTATTTCTTGGACAGGTCCACAGTTCAGTCATGGCAGCCAGTTGTCTTGGTGTGCTGGCCTTGGATCTGAAGACCTAATAAATAAAATTTTAATTTAAACTACTGAGATGTTTCATGTGTTATCAGTGCAGCTATAAAATTTAGTACTAAAAAGAAAAAATTACAATCAACTAAATTCAAAACTTTGTAAATTAAATTTAATATTCTAGTATGTATATAGTCCATATTCTGTATGTATTATAGCTTTATTGAGTGCATACAATAAAAAAACTGGTATCTCAAATACATAACATTGAAAATTAGTAGCATCAACATGCCTTGTCTCTTTAGGAAAATAAGGCTTATTTAACAGGAGAAAACATTAATAACATCAATTATCTTATACTCTTAGGGTTTTAAGATATCATTTTTCTATATCTTAGATGGTATGAAATAATTTTTCCATGAACTTAAATTTCCAGTGTATACTAATGTGAATTATCCTTTAATTGACCAAAAGCACCATTTCCCTTTCCAAAGAATTATACAAGGTTCTCTTTAAATCCATAAATTATGGGACAAGGAGAAGAACAATGCCTTATATAATTATTTTCAAGTTCCCCAACTCTCCTCAATTGCATATTATATAAATATTTTCTAACCACAAACAATATTTTAAAAATTCCCCATACTCTGGGCCCTACAACTACTATTCAATGACCTACCTGTCCAAATGTGAGCTACATTCTGAGACTTAAAAAAAACATAGTTATGTTAGTATATTACTACACATCAATATAATTGCACAACTTTTTATTCCAAATTGATGCTAGCCTAGGACCATTTAGGTTTTTAACTTCTCATAGCTGCCTGTGATGCAATAAAAATGCCATAGGGGGGACCAGCAGTTGGCGTAATGGCTATGTCACTGGGCTCCCATGTAGTCAACCGTGGTTTGAGTCCTGGACCCAGTGGCTTAAACTCACGCTGGGCGCATATGCCTGTGTGCCCGAGATCCTGAGGGGAGAATAGAGGAGAAGGGACTGTGGCATGGCCATCCCCCCTGGGGGGTGATTCCTCACTTTCTGTCTCTCTGTCTCTCTCTGTCTTTCTGGTGAGCACATGCGCCCTATAGCAAAAAAATTCTCAAAAAAAAATAAAATGCCATAGGGATTAATGATCATGCTTTAATTTTTATAGTATTCTGAGTTTCTCAAAAGCAAAGAAAGACAAATTATCATAAAATTATAAATTATTAATATGAATATAATTTATATACTTAAAGTCATATTTCAAATATCTTCCTTTAGATTGAGACAATGGAAAGCATTTATTCAGGAGATATTCTAAAGAAGAAAAGAAAAAGAAAAATGAAAAGAAAATCTACTTGTTAAATCATTGCTACTAATTATAAAGACTTAGAAGAAAAAAAGGAAATGAGAAAACACTTACCCACTTTCAGATGCACTCACAATGTACTGCTTGTCACTAGAAGCACAAGCTTTAGATAAACAAGTGATTGAAGCTGTGTGACCAAATAACAGTGCTCGGGGGTTAATCTGTAAGTGCAAAAATATGATGGTTTAAGTACCAAACAAAAATATTAACCTTTCAGTTAGGAATCTTGTTAAATATTCAATATAAATATACAAATATTGATTTGAAAAGAATTGCTTAAACACTAAAAACTAAGAGCAGTGAAACAGTGATCACTAATCTATTTATTGCTCATAATCTTCCTACCAAAGCTCTGTGGCCAAAATTAGAGCCACAGGAGGTGGCATTACTTGCCTAATATGTAGAGAGTGACAGAGCCAGGATTCAAACCAAGGTTGTCTCAAGCATTAAGCTACAGTACACTAGGAAACCAGGTTACGAAGTTGAAGTGATGCATAAAATACATTAATCTTGCTTTGCATATTAATTGTTTTCTTTATTCACGCTCATGCACAGTATACACACATGTGAGAGTGGGGAAACAAAAGGGTATAAGCACTCATTTATAGGATCTGGTCACTTCAGATCCTCTTTCAGTCCTCCAGCCCATTCAATCTGGGCATGTGTGAAAATGACCAGTTTCAAGCTGCCCTGGCTGGGAATTTCAACTTCAGTGGCCATGTGGCATCCAGCTTCTCTTGAGTAGTATTTTACTACTATACCACAGAGCTAGCCTCTCACTTGTTTTTTAAATGATGCCTTGAATGATCCCAAAGCTCTGTTAGGAATCTCTGGATTCACACTCCCAAACATAGAAAATAGAAGACAGGTACCCTCTCAAATGCTGATATCAATGTTAACTGTCAGGAACTAAGAATGACTTCACAGAGCACTGATTTAGTAACATAGTACCTAACAAAAAGAATGGCTTAATACCCACTATTCTAAAGCAATCTGGCAATCAGACTCTTTTTTTATCTACTTTGTACCAAATTACATGCTATTACTTCAGGTTACTTCATATTTATAAATATATATGATATCAAGAAGAAATTGAGGGAACCATCAGTTAGCGTAATGGCTATGTCGCTGGACTCCCACGTAGTCGACCGCAGTTCGCGTCCTGGACCCAGTGGCTTAAAGCTCACACCGGGAACGTGTGCATGCGTGCCCAAGATCCCGAGAGGAGAATGGAGGAGAAGGGACTGCGGTGTGATCATCCCCCCTGGGGGGTGATTTCTCGCTTTCTGTCTCTATGTCTCTCTCTGTCTGTCTGGCAAGCACACATGCCCTATAGTGAAAATCTTTCCAAAAAAAAAAGAAGAAACTGAATGGACATATAATCAACACACAGTTTCAGGAACAGAATATTACCAAAATCTTTTTATCTCCTTTGTAGCTTTCATGTTACCAATTTTACAATTTTAACTAATTTATTAGGAAAGCTAAATTGCTCAAAATCAAATATTCCAAGGAAGAATATTAAGATTGCTGTATGTACCCGTAAGTAGCAGTTAAAAATTTTTTCCAAATCAAACTCATGTTTGTCATCTTTTGCACAGTTATAATTAAGGGGGGAAAATATCTCTCATGTTTCATAGTTGGAATAGGCTTAGAAGGTTTTTTTCTCATACATCCGAACTTTTCTGATATACTCAACCACAACTCTGTACAAAAGTTCAGTATTCTTCCTCTGGGTAAAATACTTTAGGTCAAGGCCAAAAGGTGACATGAAGGTTAAGGCACTGGACTCCCACATGGCCAACCACAATTCACATCCTGGACTTGGCGGCTTGAAAATCACACCAGGCACATGTGTATGCAGGCCCAAAATCCCCGAAGGAGAAGGGATTGTGGCATGGTCATCCCCCTGGTAGGGATGATTTCTCACTTTCCTTCTCACTGTCTCTCACTGTCTGGTGAGTGCATGAGCACTATGGCAAAAACTGGAAAACAAACAAACAAACAAACAAAAAAAAAAACCACTTTGGATCAATTCTTTAATTTCCCCCAAGAAAATCAAGTCTGCAAATGGTCTATCTTATTTTCAATGTATATGGTTCTGCTAGAAATTTTCATTTTCAGTCATAATAGAGTAACCAGAACTGCACTTGACTTCCACCATAAAATCTAGGAAAACAAAACAAAAAATATATGAAACGAATGTATCTCATATTGGACAACTGGCAGGAAAGGACTGTAATCTCTTGAGAAAAGGGTAACAAATGAAAAGGAACCTGTATCACCAAGTTTTCTTCCTGCAGACCCTGATCTGACCTGGTGTGGGGTGGGAAAACCCAATATAGAAATCTCACTGAACTGGGGAGACAGAGCTCTAACTACAAGGAAGGTTATAATGCAGCTTAAACTTGCAAGACAGAGCAACAGACAAGATGCAGCTACACAAAGAAAAAAAAAAGGTACAGAAATCTGCAGAGGGGTCTTCTTGGACCTGTTGCTTAATTCTAAGCCACACGTGTATATCACACCACACAAAAAATATATGACCTGACAGAAAATTACCTGGGTCTGTAAGCCCTAAAATTCCCAGAGCTTGCACAGATAAGTAAGAATTCAAGTTGTGATAGGGTAAAGACAAACAGCCTTACTGAACATTAGAGACATTTGGAAGAGACTCATGGGGGTCACATCCTAGGGGGATGGAGCTAAACGAGCCCTGGAATAAAGGATCTTCCACATGGCTGACTCAGCAGTTTGACCCAGGGGCTTGAAAACCACACCAGGCATGTGTGCCTAAAATCCAAAAGAAGGATAAAAGGGTGGAAAAGGGGTTGCAATGTACCAGTTCCCCATGGAGAGCGCTTTGTCACTTTTGCATGTGTGTATGTGCACTCTCTCTTTCTCCAGTGAGTGTGTGCACCCTCTGCCAAAAATACTAAAATGAAAGAAAATAAAAACTGTTTTTTTAAGATAGCAATAAAATTGATAAACCTCTAAGACTGATCAAAAAACAAGAAAACACAAATTATCAATATCAAAAAGAAAAACCATCCATCCAGGAGGTGGTGTGGAGGCCAAGGTGGCTGGATTCCACATAGCTGGATTCCAAACGTCTTAACATAATTTTTTTTAAAAAAGTTTTAATATAAATAACTCACAGAAACAAAAAATATTAATATAATCAAAGGGAAAAATAAATGTGATGCATTTTATACATTAATACATTTTACTTATATTCTATAAAGATTTAAGTTATGTTATAAATATTAACAAAACATTTCACAAATGAGTACAAAGAAATATGATAAAATTATCTCTCCAATTAATAAATATCACCCATCCTAAAAAACTACATAGTTAAAAAATAATAGTTAACCGTTAGTTAATGACTGCCAAGGCAGGAATGAAAAGATGGGGTAGCTGAATTCTTAAGAGTAAGCTATAAGGCCAGTCAATGGTGTGAGGGTAAGGCAGCTGGATCCTGCATGGACAGCTGCGCAGTTTGAATCCAAGATCCTGTGGCTTGAAAGACATACTGGGTGTGTGTGAATACATGCTCAAAATCTAGAAAGGAGAAAGAAAGAGAAGGGATTGCAGTGTGGCCATCCCCCATGGGGGATGCTTTCTCACTTTCTCTTTTTCTCTCTCCCTCTTCACAGCAAGCTTATGTGTCCCCTGACAAAATTAGGAGAAAAAAGGAGGAGGAAGGAGGAAAGAAGAGTAGGAAGAGGAAGAGGAAGAGGAGAAGGAAGATGCAGCAGCTGCTGCAGCAGCAGCCATTAACATTAATATTTAAAAACCGTTAGTTAATGACTGCCAAGGCAGGAATGAAAAGATGGGGTAGCTGAATTCTTAAGAGTAAGCTATAAGGCCAGTCAATGGTGTGAGGGTAAGGCAGCTGGATCCTGCATGGACAGCTGCGCAGTTTGAATCCAAGATCCTGTGGCTTGAAAGACATACTGGGTGTGTGTGAATACATGCTCAAAATCTAGAAAGGAGAAAGAAAGAGAAGGGATTGCAGTGTGGCCATCCCCCATGGGGGATGCTTTCTCACTTTCTCTTTTTCTCTCTCCCTCTTCACAGCAAGCTTATGTGTCCCCTGACAAAATTAGGAGAAAAAAGGAGGAGGAAGGAGGAAAGAAGAGTAGGAAGAGGAAGAGGAAGAGGAGAAGGAAGATGCAGCAGCTGCTGCAGCAGCAGCCATTAAAATTAATATTCAAATCTGGGACCTTAGGGTTAGCTGTTCAGCCATCATTCACTGCTCTTCTTTTTTGTTTTTGTTTTTCAATCTCCCTCAGCTTTTTACTTTCCTAATCCTGGAATACTATAATTAACACTCATTAAATAAATCCTTACTATGTGTAAGTACTGTGATGACTGCTTAATTCCTTCACTGAATTCTTACACAACGTTGTGTGGTAGATTCAAATTTTAAAATAGGCATAAAAGAATTAAAATTTAGGCATAGAAGATAAATAAATTGCCCAAAGTCAGATGGTTAGACATCAAATTCAACCCATGTTTGTTCGTGTTCAAAGGCTGAGCTTTTACTTTAACATTTTACTTCTTTCATCAAACGGCATGGACTACATTATTCTCTTCATAGACTTGTTTCCCTGTTCAAGCGAAAGTTTCATGAAGATAGAAACCATCTCATAGCTTTACAGGCAGTAGAAACTTAATCCTCATACACTGCTGATGGGAATGTAACATGACATCATAACTTTGGAAAAGTCTGGCAGTTCCTCATACGTTAAACATGAAATTAACATACAGTCTAGCATTACTATGTCCAGGTATATCTCAGAGCAATTAATATATATGTCTACACAAAAAATCACACACAAATGTTGACTGCAACATTATTTATAAAGGTCAATAGTAGAAATAATCCAAATGTTCCTCAACTGATAAATTGATAAAGTATGGTATACCCATAAAATTAAAAAAATTATGTGGGCATTAAAAAAATAAAAGTATTGGTACATGTTACCACATGGATAAAACTTGAAAACATTATGCTAAGTGAAAAAAGCCATTCATAAAAGCCCACATATTGTATGATTCCATTTGTGAAATATCCAGAATAGACAAAATTATGGAGACATAAAGCAGATTAGTGGTTGCCTAATGGGAATAAAAGTATTTAAAGTGACAGTTAAAGTATATGGAATTTGTTTTTGAGTGATGAAATGTTCTAAAATTGACTATAGTAATGGTTGGCCAACTCTGTGAACATGCTAAAAAACATTCAAAATGTGCACTTTAAAAGGATGAATCAGGGACCAGCAGTTAAGAGTAATGGCTATGTCGCTGAACTGCCATGTACTCGACCACAGTTTGAGTCCTGGACCCAGTGGCTTAAACTCACACTAGGCGCGTGTGCATGCGTGCCGAGATCCCGAGAAGAGAATGGATGAGAAGGGATTACAGTATGGCCATCCCCCCAGGGGTTGATTTCTTGCTTTCTGTCTCTGTCTTTCTGGCAAGCACATGCACCTTATAGCAAAAACCTCTCAAAAAAAAAAAAAAAAGATGAATCATAGGTTCATGAATTAATTCTCTATAAGGCTGTTAATGAAAAAAAAATTTTTTTAATTAATCTACTTTCTTGACCCCACATTCCATATCAGCTACCAACCCATTTTCTATGTTCCCCCTTATAAGAAATACCTGGGAAGAGTTATCAGAGAACGGGAGTTCTAAATATGAGGAGAAAAGTAGGATAAACCCTGTGAGGTTATACTAGAACTGAAGGTATCAGTGTCAACTCATATATAGTCATGGGTGTGCATGCACTCACTGTTTTAACTCACGTGTATGTTCAAGGGTGTAGGTGCACCCACAGTTTTAAGCTTTTTTTTTTTAAAAAAGTATTTTATTTAACTTTATTCATTTATTTACTCATTTTTCAAATTTGACCAGAGAGAGAAAAAGAAAAACAACAAGCAAGCCACCAGGTCCAGGACTCAAACCGCAGTCAGCCATGTGGGAGTCCAGCAGCCCTAACCACCACGCCACCTGCTGGCCCCTTAAACTATTTTTTAATACCTTTTAGGAAACTTCCTCTTGATGAGTCACAATCTTTTGAAAACTTTTAAATGTAATAAATAGAAACTAGTCAAGAGCCAGCAGAAGTCAACTCTAATGAATATATAAATAACTGATCTACATACCTATCAATTTTACTCAAAACATACTTTGCAGAATATACATATAACCTCCTGTAGTGTGGATGTCCCCCAGAGAATCATGTGTTGGGACTTGGTTGTACAGTAAAGGTGTTAAGTGAGAACTCAATTCATTCATGATGTCCCATGGCAGGCACTTTGAGTATAATAACATCATTAGGGTGGGACCCCTACAATTGAGTTCAGGTACATTTATCAAAGAAAGAAAGAGACCAGGACAGACAGAAGTTTATAGACACTGCTCTGTAGTCCTTCTGGAAAAAGAAATGTCATACACTGTAAAGTTATATGTGGTATGTGATTCAATGTAATATAAGCAAGATTATAATGATAATAAATTAAAAAAAAAAAAAAAAAGATCCTGCTCTCTGCCATGTTGAAGCCTTATCAGAAATTGGCCCTTGGACCTCTGACCTCCAAACCATGAGCTGAATAAAACTTCTACTTTTTAAATCAGCCAGTCTCAGGTATTTCTGTTAGCAATGCAATAGTAAACTAGTATGGAAACAATATTATTCTGAGACTGGGTTATAGTCTAATAAGTTTCTTACATTTAAAATGTACAAAAGGTGTTTCAAATACTCACTTCCAATTCTACTGAAAGATCCCAGAGACATATCTGTCCATCATGACATCCAGTTACAATTGTGGCCCCATCATCTGTTAAAAGTACTGCTGAGATGCAATGTGTTGGTGCTTTGCGACCCCAGAGGACGATGGGCAGAACAAGGCTGTTTCCTGCCATTGTGTTCTCGAACCTGAAAATGTTACAAGGGTAATGTTAGATATGACAAATTTCAAACTAAAACATGCAATATATTTTTATTAGCCAATAAACCAAATAGTATAATTGAAAAATAGACATATATTCCTGGTAGTAAATTTTAGCCATTTAAACATCTATAATTTCCAAGCAAAAATGACTAATTTATCATAACTACTCCTTGCTTTGGGTACTTTAAAAAAAAAAAAAGGAGAAGTTTTTAGTCCAGATGTGCATAAATTTTATTAATGAAAAGCCAATGGCTTCAGTACATCATATTTTGCACTTAACAGTTGACAAATCACTTTTTATGTCTACTGCTTCATTTTGATTTTCAAAACAGTCTTTTGAGGATGGCAGGGTAGAAACTGAGGCATAAGCCCCTACACAGAGAACTATAAAGTCAAAGAGTCTAAATACCAATCCCAATCTTCTGCTCTCAAGTTGTCTATCTCCACTTAAAAAAAAAAAAAAATATCAAATATAAAAATTGGAGCCAGCCTGTAGTGCAGTGGCTAAGTACTATGAAAGGAAATATGGGTCCCATGTGGCTGACCACAGTTTGAATCCTAGCTCTGTTGGCTTGAAAAATACTCTGGGTGCAGACCTAATCTAATCACCAAAGCCCCCTTTCCAGCCCAGAGTGTGGGAGGAGGGTCTGTCTCAGCCTTCAAGACCACCACCCATTCCGCAGTCACAGGATTAAAAGGAGCAGAAGGAAAGCAGGGTTGTGCAGGCCTTAGCTGCTCACCAAAGTCCCCTGCTCAGCCTACAGCATGCAGGAGGGGCTGCCTCAGTCCACCTGCTACACTGCATGTGGCGCACGATTTTTGGCTACCATCTTATATTCTAGCGCCAAGCTTAGCCCCCAACCACACTGGGAACAGAGAGGTGTGGGGATATAAGAGCCAAATAGCTAAACACGGTAAGGCTCTGGAGGAATTCTCTCCCTACATTCACTCCAAGCAAAAAGAAAAGAAACTCCTCTCAGTAAAACTGAACCCAAAACTCCCACTGTGGATTCCACACTGCCACCCACAGAAGAAGAGAGACACTGGCACAGAGACAATTCACATCATAGAGAAGTGCACAAGCACATAGCTATAGAAATCTACTCCAGGGACCAGCAGTTGGCATAATGGCTATGTCACTGGACTCCCATGTAGTAGCCCGTGGTTCAAGACCCAGACCTGGGGGACCAGCAGTTAATGTAGTGGCTATGTCGCTGGACTCCCATGTAGTCGACTGCAGTTCAAGTCCTGGACCCAGTGGCTTAAACTCACGCCGGGCGCATGTGCATGCAAGCCCAAAATCCCAAGAGGAGAATGGAGGAGAAGGGATTGTGGCGTGGCCATCCTCCCTGGGGGGTGATTTCTTGCTTTCTGTCTCTCTGTCTCTTTCTGTCTTTCTGGCAAGCTCACGTGTCTTATAGCAAAAACCCTCTCAAAAAAAAAAAAAAAAAAAGACCCAGACCCAGTAGCTTAAACTCACGCCAGGTGTGTGTGCATGTGTGCACAAGATCCCAAGAGGAGAATAGAGAAGAAATTATAGAGTGACCATCGCCCCTGGGGGGTGATTTCTTGGTTTCTGTCTGTCTCTCTCTGTCTTTCTGGCGAGCACACATGCCCTATAGCAAAAACCTCTCCAAAAGTTAACAACAACAACAACAAAAAGAAACCTACTCCAAAGAGGTAGCAAGAAGTAAGTACATCACCAGATGACTAAAAATCACAGTAGTGCCTCAAGAAACATGAGTAAGCCAGAAAATACTTTGCCCCCAAAGGAACACAATAACTCATCACCAACAATGGATAAAACATAAGAAATCACAGAAACATAAGGGAAAAAAATTTCAGAATTTCTATCATAACTAAACAATAGAAAGATGCAAAAGAAAATTGACAACCAATTCCAGGAAATGAGAAAATCCCTCAAATCATGAGGGAGGAACACCACAGAGAAACAGACACCCTGGAAAAGAATCCAATTCCAGAAATGCTGGATATAAAAAACATGATACAGGAAAACAAAACCTCCCTAAAAAGGGTTAAGAGTCAATTAGATCATGTGGAAGAAAGAATCTCTGACCTTGAAGATAAAACTTTCAACTGAATCCAAACAACCAAGAAGAATGGGAAAATAAACATTAAAATAAGAACAGGGAAAGGGCAGCAGATGGCATAGCACTGGACTCCAACACTGCCAAACAGAGTTCAAGTCCCAGACCCAGTGGCTTGAATCTGGGTGCATGTGTGCCATCCAAGATCCAGGGAGTAGAATAGAGCAGAAAGAATTGTTGTCTCCATCCCTCCTGGGGGGTGATTTCTCACATTCCCTCTCACTGTCTCTGTCTCTGTATCTCTCTCTCACTTTCTATGGTACTCTAAGGCAAAAGCCTCTTAAAACAAATGAAGACAGGGGCTGGCCGGTGGCATAGTTGTTAAGGTGCCAGACACCCACATGTCAACTGCAGTTCCAGTCCTGGATCCAGTAGCTTGAAATACACCAGGTGCATGTACATACATACCCCAAAGCCCAGGAGAGTAGAGATTGTGACGTGGTCATCTCCCATGAGAGGTGACTTCTTGCTTTCTGTCTCTGTCTCTCCAGCAAGTGCACACACCCTATAGCAAAAATCTCTCTCTCAAAAAGAAACAAACAAAAAAAAAGGATGACATATGGGAAATTCTAGACACCATTAAATGGCTGAAAATTCACATAATGGATATTCTAGAAGGCAAAGAAATGGGTAAAGAACACTAAAAAAATTTAACATAAAAGATCCTCCCCAAGGCACATAACAGACAAACTGGTAAAAATCAAAGACAAAGACAATATTCTAAAAATGACAAGACAGAAATGCCAAGTTACTTACAAAAGTCACCTCATTAGATTAACATCAGACCTCTCACCTGAAACAATTCAGGCAAGGAAAGAATGGGAAGACATATTTAAACTCTGAAAGAAGAACAATTTCAGCCAAGAATACAGTATTCGGCAAGACTGTACTTCAACAGAAAGAGAAATAAAATCATTCCCATATAAACAAAAGCTGAGGGAATTCACCAAAAGTAGGCCAGCCCTTCAGAGAATATTTCAGGGAATGGTACACCTGAAAAACTAAAGAGGGAAATGCAAATTAAAGCCACAAAAGAGATACCATTTAACCCTTCTTAGGATGGCTAGGATAAAAAAACACCGGCAAAGTTGTGGGGAAAAGGGAATCCTCTTTATACTGTTGGTGGGAATGTAAATTAATACAGCCTCTGAGGAAAAACACTATGGTGGTTCCTCAAAAACATACAAATAGAACTATCCTATGACCCAGTAATCCCACTCTTCATATTTATCAAAAGGATAGGAAAACAGTCAGAAAAATACATGCACATCCATGTTTATTATAGCATTATTCACAATTGCTAAGACATGGAATCAATCTGAGTGTCCAAAAACTGATGACTGCATTGGAAAGCTGTGGTACACCATATACTATAGGATATTAATATTACTCAGCCATAAGAAACAATGAGACCCTATCATTTGATTCAAAGTGGATGGATATAGAAGATTTAATGTTAAGCGAAGTGAGCCAGACTTTGAAAGCAAAACACTGTATATCCCCACTCAATATGTACCAAACGTCCGTAGTTTATGACAGAAAATGAAAGATCCAAAGACATGATAATAAAGAGGATAAGTGTAAGATACCAGAGACTGCAAGAGTGGAGAAGAGGTGGTAGAGAGTGGGTGGTAGAGGGTAAATGAGAAAAGCAAAGGGAAGAAATGTTTAACAGACCAAAGAATAAAAAGTTGAAAAAAAAAGTTCTGTAATTTTTGCTTTATAAAAATTATAATTAAATTTTTAAAAAGAAAAGAAAGAGGGAACCAGCAGTTAGCGTAATGGCTATGTCGCTGGACTCCCACGTAGTTGACTGCAATTCTCGTCCTGGACCCGGTGGCTTAAAACTCACGCCGGGCGCGTGTGCGTGCGTGCCCCAGATCCCGAGAGGAGAATGTAGGAGAAGGGATTGTGGCGTGACCATCCCCCCTGGGGGGTGATTTCTCGCTTTCTGTCTCTATGTCTCTCTCTGTCTGTCTGGCGAGCACACGCGCCTTGTAGCGAAAACCTTTCCAGGAAAAAAAAAAAGAAGAAAAGAAAGAAAAACACACCAGGCACATGTGCATGCATGCCCCAAATCCTGATAGGATGGAGAAATAGAGGAAAAAGAACTGTGGTATAGCCATCCCTTACAGGAGGATTCTTTCTCTCTCTCTCTCTTTCTGGACAGCACAAGCATGATCAGAAAAAATATTAAAACCTCTGTGTGTGTGTGTGTGTGTGTGTGTGTGTGTGTGTGTGTGTGTTTCAGAGAATATTTCAGGGAATGGTACACCTGAAAAACTAAAGAGGGAAATGCAAATTAAAGCCACAAAAGAGATACCATTTAACCCTTCTTAGGATGGCTAGGATAAAAAAACACCGGCAAAGTTGTGGGGAAAAGGGAATCCTCTTTATACTGTTGGTGGGAATGTAAATTAATACAGCCTCTGAGGAAAAACACTATGGTGGTTCCTCAAAAACATACAAATAGAACTATCCTATGACCCAGTAATCCCACTCTTCATATTTATCAAAAGGATAGGAAAACAGTCAGAAAAATACATGCACATCCATGTTTATTATAGCATTATTCACAATTGCTAAGACATGGAATCAATCTGAGTGTCCAAAAACTGATGACTGCATTGGAAAGCTGTGGTACACCATATACTATAGGATATTAATATTACTCAGCCATAAGAAACAATGAGACCCTATCATTTGATTCAAAGTGGATGGATATAGAAGATTTAATGTTAAGCGAAGTGAGCCAGACTTTGAAAGCAAAACACTGTATATCCCCACTCAATATGTACCAAACGTCCGTAGTTTATGACAGAAAATGAAAGATCCAAAGACATGATAATAAAGAGGATAAGTG